ATTTCGCGCGAAAGTTGGGGTTCTGAGACGCGCCGGTCTCGCTGTTTCCCAAAGGGGCGAATGCTTCATCAATCACAGCCGCTACATATTCAAGCGCGCTGGCAAGACGGAAGCAATGAAACGATGTCGGGCTTGAACTAGAACCCATCCCCGGAGGACGATGCTGGAGCTCCTCCAGAGTGGAATGGTGAGTCGGGACGATCGAGGCGTAGTGCGGGTATTCTTGGTGAGTGCTTCGGGGCGAGCGACCCGAATCTTTCGCCAGGTTGAATAAACACCCCATCCTTGCAAGGTTTCGATTTTTGAGTTTGTGTGAACAGACCTCGATGCCTCGTACAATTCGCGGGTGTCATCGCGGGTGTCACGATAACAGCTATGAGAGTGAACCATGATCAAGGTATCACGGGCCTGCTTGACAGACTGTGCCGTACCATCAACTCATTTACACTTCTGTCTTGCAGAGTGTACAGAGTATGTGTGCTTTAACGTGCTCCGCCTCATATGCAACTTTGTGGCTCAAGAAATTGCCACAAGCCAACAGCTTACGACTCAGTCGTAGGCGTCCGATCCAAGAGTCCAAGCCATTCCCGTTGCACAGATCTACGACTGAGCGCCATCTGTGAACAGAGAGAGTGTCAGTGCGCGTGCCTGCAAGGGAATAGGTGGTTAGTGACGTGGTCAACCTCTACCTCAACACCACAAACAATATTCATTAGCTCGGTGAGGTGAGCAATCACGACAATATCGACAACAGACCCTCACGCAGCTTGTAATTCAATGTTAATACTTACGACAGTTTGTGCAGATAGTTTCGGCGTATCAGGGGACGCATCAAATGAAAACAAGCCGTCGACGCAGACAGGAGATATTACACGACTGTTTGCAAGCTCGTCTTGGCAGTCTTCAGTTCAAGACTTCAGCCGTGCTTTCTGATGCAGGCGGCGAGGGCTATGTGCTGGTGGAGGCAGGCAATGCAATTCAGCTCGTCTGAAGTCTTACAGGGTTTTGCGGTGGTCTTTAGGCAATGGCATCACGGTTTTATACAGTTCCATGTAGGGGCCGTAGTGATGAGAGTTGCATGTAGGTGCCGTCGTGATGAGAGTAAAGGTTTCGGGCATGTTGAATATACTTATATAGGGTCAGCAGGGGACAATGACATCATTACAGTACCAGTGCATACAGATTTCAGACCTGTACACATCATGGATTTTGCTTCCCTTCATAGCTGGAGTGATTGTATAGCTGTATCAAAAGCTGCGTTCAGTGGTACCTTTCGTTTATGCACGGCCTGAGTGCGAATGCAATCGGTCACGACCTCCTTGAACAGGATGTAGCCTGCACGCCTCGCGTCTATCAGCTCTGGCACCGCTGCCGCAGCGACTCCTCTGACCGGCTGGCGTTCTACCTGCGCCACACTGAGGTCGGGGGCCGGGGGAAGCGGATCGCTGTTTAGAGAATCTTCGACCGAGTTGGAGGGCTCAGGTTCAATGCGTCAGAGCAAGCAGGCAGCAGGGTTTGCATGCCAACCCGGCACCCCCAAGCCTTACCGTATGTAATGCAGCATTTCAGGAAGCAACAAACCACGAAGCTCGAAAACCCTCCACTCGCCGATGCGAAAAGTACAGAGCTGAACCTTTCGAGATTCAGAGTTTGTGCAGCTATGCTCCCTTCAGGAAAGGTAGGCCCTTGAATCCCTTCTAAAAGACCTGTCCTGCTTCCTGGAGGCTTTTGAGGTCTGGACCCCTGGCTGGTCTGCCGTGGGGTCAGAGATCCAGGCCTCTTCTTCATGTTTGGGGCTTTATAAGGTCTGAGGTTGTGTTTTCCGCATTCAATCAGGGTTCAAGCTGGTTTGAGTGTTTCGTAGAGGGGGAGTGCTTGACAGTGGTGCCAGATTGCTAGAAGTCCCACTATCATTCTATCAGCCGGTATGCCGATTATACCCTGCGTCAGCACTAGCAAGAAGGTTGACGCGGTGGTAAACAGATCCTAGACTGAACGAACGACTACGAAAAAGCCTGCAGTGGCCTCGACACCCACCAGCACTGCAGGAGTAAGACACCCCCTCACCTTTCTTCACTTGCTTAAGCCCTAACAAACCGTAAGAGAGAGCGCAACAAAACATAGCTCTTGATCCCAGTCAAAACCGCTTGACAACTAGCCGTGAGGTGTTGTCGAGGGTTAGTCCTATGCCTGACATTGGCACTGTCATTTTTTCGCATCATCACTTTTAATTGACACATGTTCAGTGTATCGCTTTCTCCATTGGTTTATTAACATTTCGCTTTGGCCTCATCGACACACATGATCAGGAGGCAGCGAACTTGCGAAGCGCTGTTCGGATACGTCTGCAGACAGCGGCAGAAAGAGGGACCACGGGGGAGGATGTGCTGTGAACTGCTACACCTACAGAATGGCTTGATCTAGATTGATGAGGTACGACCTACATTGACCTAGTGTGGCATCATGTGCTAAACATACGAAAATGGGAGTTATTTGGGCTATAAGCTATAGGTGTGAATCGAAGGGGCGGTGCGATGCTTTAGGGGCCATGGTCTGATGCAGTGACTGTTCTTTGGTTGAACCATTTCATGATCAGGACTACGGTTGAGGGCCTGTAAAATAGTAGAGTTGGGCGCTAGGGTTAGTTGCATTCAAGACTTGACGAGGAAATCGCCAAAGCTATGGAAAGGTTAGGCCTAGGCTTTACTTGAGTTTTGCCAGTTTCAGCAAAGGCGCAGATGCTAAGCCACTGCAAAAGTCAAGCAGCGACATTGGCCCTGAAGCTTGCAACGGCGGAGACATCTACGGAGAGGGAGCGACAGAACCCAAAACCCTGGAAAGTAAAACCCAGGGCTATGTATGTATGTATGTATGTATGTATGCATGCATGTATGTAAGTATGTAGTGTTATGTAATGTTCTGCAATGTTATGTACTGTTCTGTAATGTTCTGCAATGTTATGTAATGTGATGTAATGTTATGTACTGTTATGGAATGTTCTGCAATGTGATGTAATGTGATGTAATGTTATGTATTGTTATGTGATGTTATGTAATGCTATGTAATGTTTTGTATTGTGATGTAATGTAATGTAATGTAATGTAACGTAATGTAATGTGATGTAATATGTGATGTAATATGTGATGTAACATGATGTAATGTGATGTAATGTGATGTAATGTGATGTAATGTAGTGTAGTGTAGTGTAGGTAATGTAATGTAATGTACTGTGCTGTACTGTAATGTAATGTAATGTAACGTGTGCGTGCGAGCCTTTCTGTATACATGTCGAATATGTATAGAGTTTGTGCTTTTTTGATGCTGGGTTTGCTGATATCTGGATTTTGCACACATACATTGCGGTTGTATGTGACGTGTGGCTTGACATGCTCCTTGGCGCAACGAGCGCTGGGCAAGGCTACCTGGCTGACAGCCGAGAAAACCCCGCGCCGTAAACCCGAATTTGCGATCCGAAGACCCCAAGCTCGAAATCCGAAGCACATACCCCCCAAAATCTCAAAGCCACAACTTCAGACTGAAGATCTGCTTCTGCTTGTTTCTCCAAATCGTCCTTCGATTGCTGAACCCCCTCCCGAATCCCGCACGAAGTTTGGCTCCCCTGTGCGAGCGCCGAGGCCGCCAACTGCCGGACAGCCACCCTTGGCTCCCGAGGGACGCTGCGGGGGCCTGAGTTTTCAGTGCAAAGTTATCACTTTATTCGGTATGGCCATGCTGACTTCTTCTACTTAACTCAGCTTGACTGTATTCAGTACCGGGTGAGGCCTGGTCCTCTCAAATTGTATGATGAGCCTTTTGGCTTAGCACTGCGTCTTGTTAGTATACCATTGCAATATTACCAGTAACATGATCACTGCTGCGTGTCATGAGGCTTTGCAAACAGGTTTCCGAGTGTTAGGCGTCAGGTGTGGATGTTGGCATTTCGTCCCGGCGACATCAAAAGATGGTTATGTAAAAAGCAGCTTACGATGAACTAAGCAGCCGTATAAGAATCAATACAGTATTTCAAGAAGAAGCGCTGCACATTTCGCAACCGCTTCTCAATCTGGGTCAAAGGCATGTTGATGTGCAGACTGTACTTTCCCATGGGCCATTCCGTGGCGCGTGCGTGGCTCAAGCTGCCGAGACTCAAAGAAAGTCCTGGTGCTTTTACTTGTTCACCGACTGTCCCCTGCCCAGTCCGGCCCTAGCCCGGAGCCTTAAACGCCGAAGCCCCTAAATTTCTAAAGCCTCCGCCCGAAAACCACAGTCGAAGCCGAAGCCTAATCCGGAATTCCCCAAAACAAAACCCCAACTTTCCATCCTCAATCCGGAAAACCGTAGAACCCCAAATATCATTCAACTTCACCGGTGATTTCTGGCACTGAAGCTGAGACCAGGAAAAAAGTGTTGCTGTCGCCAGGTCTGTATAAGGTAGGGGGCCTTTGTGTCGAATCATGTCCGCTTTTTTGTTACGTATAGGCCCCGTATGTTCCGACACTCGTAGACCACAGAAGAGAAATAAGCAGTAACGACCCCTTATTGTCCCATATGCAACTACTGTCTAGTCACTAGTGCCCTCCCAGGAGAAAAAACAACACTCGGCTTTAGTCCTACGTGCATACTAGATTGACATGCGCCATTCTGGGGCCGAAATAACTACTAGTTACTAATACTATTGCATCGGGCTCCTGTACAACAGTATGGTATAAATACTCCCGAAACTCCACGAAACAGCAAATTTTCCAAAGCGGCGGATTCTGCAAACCTGCCGCCACATGGGCGGATGGAGATCGATACTCCGCGAGCAGCTTGGTTTAGGGTGAAGGGTTGGTGGTTGCGAGATGGCATGCTGTTCTGTGCTTCTTGATGAGTCGGCATCGATACCCCTAAACCCGAAAGCCATCTCCTCAAAATCCGAATATTACGCCACGCGCTGAATCAAAAAAGCTCCCAAAGCCCCAAAAATGGTCCCCACAAGTCGTTGCGATTGCATTCCTGAGGTACGCCCGACCATCCTTCCCCGCCCCTGCAGGACGAATAGTTTCCGAAAGCCACGCATAGGAAGGCTTGCGAGAGTCATCCAGAATTCCGTATCCATAAGTGGTGTTGGGCCTAGTTCACGGTTCATGTTTGCGCATGTCTCTCTGGAAGGATCAGAGGACCAGCAGCAAAATGTACACGTGTGGTCACGAGTGGCTCGGAAGCCGAAGCCGTGCCGAAAGTAACCAAAAATTAAGTGCATGAGTGACACCTAGCTCAAAACAGGACTCGAAGCTACACCACTGCCAAGCCCTTAACCCTAACCCCTAAACCCCTGACCCACGCGAAGAAACACCAAACAGGACCCCTTGCTGGAGACGTCAGCTCGCGAGGGCGCCCTTGCTTTCCTGGAGCTTCTGGCGCTGTTGGCGGCTGCTCCCGATGACGGTCAGGCTCCGGTGGGATCTGCCGTTTCCATGATCGTCAAGATGCCGACTGTTTTATGACATATTCAGAATGGTTTGTGGTCCGTGTTGCTAGTGTCAGTGTTATGTGGTAACCAATGTGGTTGTCCTTATGATTCTAGCGTCACTCTTACCATGTGCATTTCTGTATAGCACTGTTCGGTTATAGCTGCTGCAACTACTGTCTAAATTTCGCTTCTTATTTGCTTAGGGCCTTAGGTTTGACCCTATAGTGTCTATTGGGGATCAGGATTGAGGGTGGAGATTGACTTCAATTGAGATCATTCAGGTCCACATACTCCGTGCCATAGCCCAAAAATTCTCAACCTGGCTACCTGTTGGCTTTTCGCCTTACCCAGCCCTTCGGGTACATCGATATGGTGCAACGCAGAAACGTTTGCGCCAAGAGTTCTGCGGCTCCCTCCAATTTGTCAGATCTTAAACACTAGACAGCAAACGGTAAACCCTAAATCCAAGCTGAGCTGCGAGAGGCTAAATCCAAGCTCCTATCACGACGGTGTTGTTCGGAGGAGGGCGGCGGCCAAGCTGCCGCGACATCCCCCTTCTTCATCCAAGAAGCTTCGGACGATCAAGGTGTCTGGGTTGAGGGATTAGGGTTTAGGGTTTAGAGTGTCACGCACTTGATGGCAATGGTATCGGAGTAAGACGAGCTGAAGGACAACGGGAAGGAGAAGAGACAGATGGAGCGATGGATGAGCACATAGATGCGCGCATCAGCAGGAACACAGATCGACAGACAAAGCTGGGAAACTGCTATCAACAAACCTTCGAGAGACATAAAATGCATATGCATGTACTGAATGCACCTGTATGTTCAGGTTTTATGTGCACATATAATAGAAGCTGTCGTCTACAGGGATGTGTGCAGCATTGGTATGCGCTGATAAGGACGGCGGCATACTGACAGCCAGTGGTTAATGCGGAAGTACAGACAGCAACGGAGCAGAAGTGATGCAGACAGCAACGGAGCAGAATTGATGAGCAACGAGTGTGGGGTTTGAAACCCTACACCCTAAACCCTAATCCCTACACTTGGGGTTCAAGGTGCGGCGTGGTCCTTCTACAGCGTAGAAACCAAGTACTTGTTGGTGTCAGGTCGTCGGGAGGGGTTTTCTTTGGACCTTGGGCCCTAAACCCTGAACCCTTTGTTTGTTGGGCCCTAAACCCCAAACCCTTTGTTTGCGGGGGTTTTCTTTGGACCTCGGGCCCTAAACCCTGAACCCTTTGTTTGTTGGGCCCTAAACCCCAACCTTGGGCCCTAAACCCCAAACCCTGTGTTTGCAGCGGTGTTCTTTGGATTTTGGGCACATTTTTCTAAATTCCAAAGCTGAGGCTTCCGAGCTCTGGAGATCATTTCTCTGCCTTGGAGGAGCCCGGTCAGCGCTTAGGCCCCAAGAAGTTTTCGGGCTACAGGATTAGGGCTTTAAGCTTGGGGTTCAAGGTGCCCTATAAGTAGGAGTGTGCGTTAGCTCATTATTCTCTAAAGTCTTGTTTTCAGAAACATACGACAATCCACCTTCGTGGGGGAGGTTAAACATCAATGGCAGGTCCGGTAGATTAGTTTAGATTGCCCATTAGATTGATTAGGTGAGAGATAGGCAGAAAGACTCAGAGACAGACAGCACCGGCAGATTCATACATGACAGAACGACAGATACATAGATACATAGACTCAACGTGACTTAGCCCCTAGAAGAGGCCAGGCAAACCCTAAACCCCAAACATTAAACCCTAAACCCCAAGCCCTAAACCGAGTTTAGGATTGTTCTCTGGTGGACGTGGTGAGGTTGGAGGGCAGGTCTCCAGGTCACCGGCTTTCTGTGTGGAATTTTAGGGTTTTCAGGTTTGGGAAGCAGGCTCTCAGGGTCTGGGGTTTAGGTTTTAAGAGAGAGGGCTTAAGGTTTAGGGTCTAGGGGGTTGAGGGTTGAAGAACGCGGCCCGCTTTTTATGGGCACCGTCCCCTGGAACTCTTGTTGGGCGCTTGGCTCATCTCCTGCACAAGCCTTGGATTTCCTGCACAGGTCATAAGACAAAAGAGGTCATCCAACGAAGCTGCAACAAGTCATGGTCTTAGGAAACCTAAACCCCTAAACCCTAGACCCCCAAGCTGCAAAGGGACAAAGGGAAACCAAACCAAGCTGCAAGACTCCTCCTTAGGATCCCTCGCCGACCCGCGAGCTGCGCTTGCGTTGGCAGGCATGGGAGGGAGGTTGGTTTGGGGTTTATGAGAGTCGGGTTATGGGTTTAGAGCGTTTAGGGTTCAGGTTTAATTTTGGGGTTTATGTGATTCGGGCTGTGGGTTTAAAGTGTTTAGGGTCTCTAGGGTTTAGGGTTGTTGGGTTGGGGGGTGGGGGAAATTATGGGATTCGGGTGTCGCGACTGTGGATTGGGGGTTGTGGAGGTCGGTTTGGGGGTGAGCCTTCAGGGCGGTGGAGTTGCTACAAGGGTACTTCTCTAAACTAGGGTCCCCTTTTAGGTCCCCAATATAGTACGGCATAGTACGGCACCCTTATTATTGTAAAAAAGGACCCTAAATGTGACCCTGATTTAGAAAACTACCCACAAGCAATATGAAGCTGCGGTTGGTGAGGTTTGTCTTGTTGCCGGAGCTTGGCTTCTGGTATGTAGTCAGTTGGCAGCTTCAGGGAGCCCTACGGAATGATCAATCACGTATTCCCGCGTTTTGTTATATTACGATCCAGGCCCTCTTAAATGGTGTGTATTTTGCTAGGTTCCTGGGAGAAAAAAGTGCGCCGGGCAACAGCTTTGAGCTCCGAGTGAAGCCCGGTCCCTGCGACTGTTGCATCTTCTCTTCGATCGATCTCGGAAAACAATCTCGACGCATCAACAACACCACCACAAAACCTGCTTTCGGCTCAGCACCTGCAGGTTACGCGGCTTGGAGTTTAGGCGGGTTTCCAGTTGAGGCCTTCGGTGTAGAGATGTGGTAGTAGTTGCTTGCCAAGTTCTGGGGGTCCTGGTCTTTGGATGTTGGAAGGTAGCGCGCCAAGAGTGTGAGGACTTTTGTCTCTGATGGTTTGGTCCCCATCACAACAACGGAGTTGTGAAGCCAGATGCCGTGGTTTTACCTGCGACCCATACCAAAACTGAATAGGAAGAAGTGTGCCTTTTCTTTTGGGTCTAGCTGGGCTGGCAAGCCCAATCACACGGACAGTTTCCATACGTCTTGATCACTGTTGCAGCTACAGCGGCTGCAGTGAGCTTCAATACTGCCTGCTTGAGTCTGCGAGGCGTTGACGACGATGTAGACAAGTTCATGTTGGAACAGATCCGGGAGCTGCTTGATGAAGCCGAGTGGGAGGAGCTTCCCTGATGTCCAAAACGCCCCCGTCGGAATTCCTTACATACTTGACTTAAAGCCCTACCTACATCTCGTCGAGAGGATGCCTATGAAAAGTGCTCTACCGGCCTACTCTTCTTTGGCGAGCTGCTCGGTGCTCGAAGAAAGGATACAGGCTACGGGATTTACGGCTTTTTTTGGTTTGGCTTCCTGGGCTTTGGGCTCTGGCGAACTCGAACTACAAAGTACAAAGCCCCAAGAGCAAGGGAAGCAGAGTCGTGACAGGGAGAAGCTCCTTCGGTTCCTTGCGCCCTCTGCTGGCACATCCACGTACCACCTTGGCGGATATAGTTCGTTTTGCAATGTGGGGGTTTCCGAAAATAGGGGCCCAAGAAAGTACCCTAAATAGTAGGATCCTCATTATAAGGACCCCTAAAATAAGGAGCCCTAATTTTTCGGAAAGTTCCATGTCGGTAGCTATCGAGCGTGTGCACAGGCCCCGGCCTGGCACTGACCAGAACCCGAATTTCCCAAAAAGCTCGCTAAGGTAGGAACCCGATTAAGAAACCCTGGGTCTGTATTTTAGGGTTCCTGATTCTTAATATGAACCCTCATATATTTGGGTTATATAGGGCCAGGGTTTCTGCATTACCTAAAAGCGGAAACCCAAAAAGCAACCAAAGTAGAGGGAAAAAACTCTTTTGGTGTTGTGAGATGCTGTGAGGCTGCAGCCTGGCCTGCTTGGGGCACCGGTGCCAGCGACCGCCTCTAGGTGAGCTTCTAGCGTTTTAGGCCCAGAGAGCCCAATACCCCTTGTTACTCCCCTTGTTTAAGGATTTTGCCTTAAACTCTAGGGGCCTTAATATTATGATTGAAGGTATATTCCCTAATTGAGGGGTATTGGGCTCTCTGGGGGTCTGGTACTTGATGCGCAGGCCAAGCTAAGCAACCGTTTTGCCCTGCGGCTTTGTGTCAAAGTTCCCGGCTGGCACTGAGAACCGTTAGCCAGGCCGTGAAATGACATGCACCTCTCTTCGTATGTACAGTATACCCAAGCTATCAATGCTACTGCTGCTGATCATGCCACGACCAAGACCAAGCCCAAGACCAGAATCATCATGATTGCAATCGCCGGTCTCATCAACAGGATTCGCAGGCCAACCAGTCTGCCGCCGAAACAGTCATCTTGTCTTGTCCACTTCCGGTCATCACCACCGTCATCATCATCTCCTTCTTCATGAGCAATGCCTTCATCATGTGCTGTGACAGCTGGCAAACTCAGTCACTTGCTCCTTTCGGCTCTCCTTTTCCAGCCATACTCCGCAGCATGAGGGGCCTAGTCACAAGCCAGACCGCCACGCAGCCAAAGTCCGCAGCAGACCTGACCCCGCAATGATGACGTGGGTACACTCTATACTACAGTGGCCTTCATAATTGGAATAGGTTTCTGGAGTATAGTAATATATGAAGAATGTCAGCATATTTATTAACTATAAGCCTGTTGAATATTTCCCCGCACCACCTCGACATCAATCTAGACACTCGTCTCCACAGGCACTCAGGAATGTACTATCCAGCGTGGTAGCCGAATCCGCTATATACCGCAATCGCAGCTACTTGGTGGCTGCGAAAACTGTAGTAAAGACAGCGTGCCGGTGCCCTGCCTGCAGGAACGGGAAAGCGCTGCGGCTGCTTCGTGCGAGGGCACTGGTTGCGGGACTGTTATTAAATTCGTCTACACAGATGGAGTACGTATGGGAGACGGTGGGTAAGCCTGTTCTACCTTATGACTTATGATCCAATTTTCTGTGTACTTAATTCCCTCATTCCATGAATACCGCTTTGGGCCGCGGTTTGAGGCAGCTCAGGATGTGGCAGGGGCGTTTGCACAGGCACAGGCCGTTTATTGAAATTCGTTCGGCATGACTTGGTGAGATGGTATGCAAGGAGACAAGTTGCTGCATAAGCTGCTCTGAACCCAAAACACACCTGAAGCCGAAAAAACTCTTTAGGGAAATCGTGGCCGGGAGCCCGAACCATGTAGGTAATGTCGGTTTTGCAGTGCCCGGGTAGACCTTTCTTCGAAGGTCGGTGCAGGCTTCGCAGGCGCCGCAGCCGAAGAGGTGGCTGCTCTGCAGGCTCCGTTGTTTTTGTTTGGTTGCGGTTTAGGGTCTTAGGGTAGGATTCAGGGTTTAGGGTTTTTCGGATTTAGGGTTTAGGGTTTACGGCTTAGGGTTTCTGTTTGTTTGGGGGATGGGCGGGCTGGGGTGGCTAGGGTGGTAGGTTTTGCGGCTCGAGCATAGACTGGTTCACGGTCTAACTGTCTAACTTGAACAGGCCCCCCAATGAGCGAAGTGAGATTGATTGCTTCATTCCCATCCAGGCGAAGCCATCTATATCCTCCATGCAAAGCCTCAGTTAGGCAGACCTGCCGCCAAACCCGCGACTTTGTAGTAGAGGGTCAAACTAATGATTAGTTATGATATCGTCATAGTCTATAGTTATGTCATTACACACACAGATATATATATATATATGTATATATATGTACCCATACACATTCATATACATGTATGCATAGTTTACGCTATCATGTACGTTCATTTTTCATTCCCCTACATTTTATCAAGCACTTTCAGGACGAAGCAGGAGCTGCCGGAATCTTGGGCCGTGCGGCTCAGACACAACGGAGGTTCGCGATTTGGTCCCATGATTCTACGGGTTCTGGTGGAATAGCTTCTGGTTCTTTGTAACTCCATAAAGTGTACTAAGATGGTTCTAGAAAGGTATTATTATGTACAATGTAAATACTGAAAGAATGTAACGTCTTCAGGACTGCTCTGCGGGATCAACTGGAATGCTTTCGGCGATGGCGCAGTGCCTCCCACATCAACGAAGACGAACCTAATAGTAATTTTCGTAACATAGCACAATCAGTAGACTAATAACAATACTAATATGTTCCCCCGATATCTGAATCACTACCTTGCCAAGACCCAGCGGTCGCAAATCAACCAGATAAGCACCCATTTCTCTATGATCCTGGGGTGATTAAGTTGTGTGTCAGATCCAGATGTTGTTCAACGAATGCTCGGTCGGCAACATCGTAGAGATACTGTGTTTCAGCAAACCAGATTCTACACCCGAACTTACTACATGGTAAACTTTGTAAAGCCCAGGCCTTACACAGCCCCTTCTGGCGCTTTGATTCCTAAAATATAAGACGTATTGGACGCCCTAAACCCTTGAAGCCGGGAGACTGAACCCTAATGCTGCAACCCTAGCCGTGACAGATTCCAAAAGCTGCTTATCCAAAAAGCCTTATAAAAAACCCTGATCATCCTGCCTTCTCTGCTTACCTTCATGTCGCAAGCCCTCGGAACCCTGCGACCTGCAGACCCGAATCGTCCTAACTCCATCCCCCTCCTTCCAACAAGTTGCGAAAGAACCCAGACGTAATTCTTTTTTGAACGGCAATTAGCTTCAGTTAGTTACAAAAGCGCCCCTAAACGTAATTCCTTTTTTCGCACGGCCCTGAGTCTCTGGCAGGTTCCCTGAGGCGGAGCTACAGTTGCGCCGTGCCGCCAGCGAGGCGTCGGATGTCGCTGCTGAGGTGCGCAGTTGAGGCAGTGTGTACAACCCCACATCGTCCATTTACCCAAGTACGCGCAAACTTTATTTTAAGAAAACTACGCTGCTGTTCCAGGGTCTGGGAACTTTCTTAACAGAACAGGTCGAATAAAAAATATACTTCCCTCCCGAGAGTCTGGTGTACATTTCTTAATTGCACTCGCTGCTGCCCCTGCTGCTGCCCCTGCTGCTGCCCCTGCTGCTGCCCTGCTGCTGC